GTACGATTCAATCGAAAGCTGGAAAAGAAGGTCTGCCACAGTGCCGCCAGAAGGAAGAATGTCGTTTATAACGAAAACAGGCCCGAAGCTCATATTAAGTTGTGACTGACCCATCGAAGAGGCCAACGTACGACTACGACCGGCTTCTGAAAGGATTGCGAGCCTGCGGAGAGTGCGCTTCAGTGACTTATGAGAAGAACTTGGAACATATTTTGAAGACCATCAAGGAATCGAAAGAACAAGATTTCTGGGGCAGGATCCGGACGCAACCCATTTCGAGCGGCTGATAGCCAACGTCAGTTGCAGAACAGCTTTGCGGGAGGATCTCAGGCAGTACAGGCAAGCCAAGAACTGGAAGCAGGCGAAGGAAGACGAAGTCCCAAGAAGTGCCAAAGGGACCTCTGTGAATATCACGCTGGCTGCACTATTGAACAAAGACGGGACTTCGACTTTTATTCCGACATAAGATGGAATCTATCGCGGATAGCTTCTACACCAGCCTCTTCCGCTCATCAGCACCCATGCCGATGTCCGTAGTTCCCATTGGAGAAGTGCCACCGAATTCTACCTGCTGAAGTGCGCAGGCGATTCAGCATGAAAACTCACGGCTCCAGGACAGACAATCTTTCCGTCGAACTTCTCCGACAGGAGGAAATGTCTACACGAGATTCTCGCCTGACAACCTGATATCTTATTTTCTAAAGGAGAGGATTCCCAACCAGTGGAAAATGTCAAGAACCGTCCTTCTCTTCAAGAAGGGTGAACAAGAGGATCTTCGGAACTGCCGTCCAATATGCTTGCCGAGTGTGCTGTACAAGCGTCCCACGAAGATTTTCCCGCTCGCATATCTGGGACACCTGGATTAAAGGCAGCATCCGGGCAGATACGAAAATGTAAACTACAATGGCGCCCGTGCCTGGTAAGGCTCTTGCCCAACTGGCAATGCACCAATTTGCTTCCGAAGTGAGAAATTCGCTTCAAAAGTGGCGACCGGAACGCCCCGGCGACCAGGACGAGTTAGTTCGATAAGCCGGAGTGCGCATACGGCACACAATCATGACGTAGGGTCCCACAAAGACTCTGCGTCTTGACCTTGGCAGCAGGCGACAAAATTCAAATCAAGAGCTTCTGGAATAGCCCGTTTTCGGCGTTTTCGTGCCCTTCAAGCTGCATTTTCTGAATCAGCGGGAGAAATAAGCCCAGGTAAGCAAAAAAAATTCCATTCGAAATTTTGCCCGGACGCTGCCTTCAAGCTCAACCTCAAGAACCCCAAGAACAAGCTGGATTCGCAAAGGATTCAGTTGCATGGGAGACATTTAGACACTTTCCAGGGTCATAGAAGTCTGCCGGGAGCACCGACTACCTTCCTAACCTTCGTCGACTACGAGAAAGCCTTTGACAGCGTCGAAACCAAGCCATCCTGCCTGGGCTAGTCGATCAAGGAGTGGACCCAGCTTACGTGAGCACGTTAGCCGACTGCTGCACTGTACAAAGACGATGCAGCTATTCCATTGCCCCCTGACCATCGCAGTTGGGAAGGGGCCCGACAAAGGCGACATAATCTCGCTGAAGCTTTCACCGCGGCCTTGCATGGATGATGAAGCCACTGGACTGGGACGAGAGAGGCATACGAGTTGATGGGAGATTCCTATCGAACCTTCGTTTTGCGAACGACATCGTTCTTTTCGAGCAGTTTCACTGAAGCAGAGACGATGCTGAAGGAACTAAAACGAGTTAGGGAAGAACATAGGACTGCGAATAAATCGGAAGCAGATTCAGTTCATGAACAACACCCTTTGCGAAAATGCAGAAACGGGTTTGGAAAGCACCACTCACGGAGACGCCTTCTTACGTGTATCTCGTTCGATGAACATGGAGCACGAGTTGAGGGATGAACTTAAGAGGAGAAGAAGAGCGGGCCTATGAAGGAAGCCACCGACCAACTGACGGGCTGAGCTTCGTGGCCACCGGTTCGACACGACCGTTATCACGGAGCTCTTTTACGCAGTGAGACTCAAGCCGACACTGTAGCCACGTCGAAAGCTCTACAAACCACTCACAGAGCGCTTGAGCGCGGTGTGCTGGAGATGACCCGACACAAACAACATCTTGTCGAACTTCGCAGTACGGATTTGAGAAGAATGTCTCGTCTTCGTGACCCAGCGCTATACGTTGCGAAAGCGAAACACCGATGGGCCGGTCATCATGAGAAGAACAGACGACAGGTGGACACTGAGAATATCGAATGGATTCCTAGCGTCCCCGAGGAAGACTTCCAATGAGATTGTCAGACGTGTGTGGGGATGGACCAGCTGATCTGAAGCGAGGGACAGCGAAAAATGGAAACTCCTGTGCTGGGGCCCGACGTCATGAGGACGGGCCGTCTAAGTATCTAAGTAAGTAAGTATCAGTGTCTTGCGAATTTCGCATCGGTTAGCTGGAACTCGGTATAGAGAGGTAAATAAGAGCGTAATTACAGAAACACTAGGTGGCGAGCCTTCACAGCCACCCCCGCCTCTAAGAATGGGTCGCTTCTAAAAGTCATTTACTTGGGTTGTAAAAATGTGCACATGACTTGTTTATACTTGTAAATTATAGAAATGATTTTTATATCCATAAAACTAGATTTGTGAAGAGGTTCTTCTGAGGCGTGGCTGTTGCCAAAATTTTTTTCAAATTTTCGTAGTCAATGGAATGAACGAAAATTTTGGGTAGCACCCAAAAGATTTTTTCGGAGTGAACCAGCGCCACGCATCTGTAATCAACGTCGGTAAAGCTAAATTGAATTTCTAAAAAAATTTAAAAATTATTTTTATTATTTACAAGTAAAAACAAGTCGCTTGCACATTTTTATAACACATTTGAGTGAAAATTTCGCAAATTCTCGGGGCCTCCCTCCCTTGCCCCCCCCCCTCGGTACGCCACTGCCCTGTACCCATTAAAGCAAAGGATTCGTTGATCATTTCCCTGCATTTTTTGTACTCCTTTACTGCTATAATGCAAATTGTTTGAGTACTCCATACCACTCTTGCGCCATGTGTTGTGCGTAACTTTTCTACACATATTCCTGTCCTGATATGCACTTGAAAATGAGATGAATCGGAGAGCATACGGATGACAACCGTGAAGAAAAGTGATTACCTCAAAATGGGGATAAAATTTCGAGGTGGGAAAGGCCGCGCATATAGATACCAAGCGTTTTCATCGCCTCGCGATTCTCCCACCAAACAACCGTTACGAGTTCACTGCATGTCGATCTTTTTGCATTTCAGTTGTGTAGTCAGTTGTTTGCCATTAGTCGAGTCGCAAAATTATTACAACCGAAATGCAAGATGATCGAAATGGGATTCTAACACTTGCTCGACACGCACCTTCCGATTTTTCTTACAAGGGAAGGATGGTCATGGCTTTTTGCGATGATCTGTATATCATGTTGGAGGGCAAAAAACGCTGATTCCAAATCTATCTTTCTAATCTGCGGTGCGTTCCTGCACGAGAAATTATGAGCGTTTGTTGGAGAAAAAAATTGAATGTGCAAATAATATAGAAACAGTAGTACCATTATTCCTAGCGCTTTAACGGACCAGAGGTAATCTTTCCAGCACTCTATAAAATAAATACTCTTAGGTAAGATATATCTGCACTCCGGCTGTCTCATTCAAGCACTGGGAAAATTTTAAAAGCGGTTTTTATCCTAAAAAACGCTCACTTTTTGCTCCTTTAAACGCTCACTATTCCTCGTTCAGGAACGCGCCTCAGATAAGGAAGACAGATTTAAAATCAGCGTTTTATGTCCTCCATTACGGCATACAATCCATCTCAAAAGACCACTTCGACCAACCATACTTCCCTTATTAGTTTTTATCTCTATTGAAATCGTTTTTCTGCTTACACATGAGAGTATTTACTCAGACAACTGCATCGGGAACTTCGCGGGTGCTTGCTCGGCCACCAATCATCCATGCCGCGAGTGCCCGGTATAAACCGATATTGGACCCGATATGTGACCGCGGCGCATCCTGTAAGCGCCCGATAGTTGACCCGATTAGCATGCTTGTGAGGCTTAGAAGAGTGAAAAATCTTTTGGGTTGTCTTTCATGACACGACTTGAGCGCAAATTGAGCAACTTGTTAGCTCATCTGTCGATGACACGACTTGAGCGCAAATTGAGCAACTTGTTAGCTCATCTGTCGACATCATCTAATGTCGTCGATAACACATCCGACTGCTGAAGTTTGTTTCGTAAGCATAAAAACTTAACTGTCAGACAGGAATAACCCGAGAAGCGATTCCCGATCCCTACAAACACTTAGGGTAGCCTCATCACTGCGGCGTACTCCACGCGGGTTGCGCCTTAACCTACAGCATGTAAAAAGTACGGCCTTTGATGAGACCTGCGGCCCGCCGAGTGAGGTGATTGGGCCGCGACTCTTCCGATAATCTCTTCCCAATTTCAACTTTGGCCGCGCCGTTCCCGGTAAAATTTACATGGCCCGCGGCGTGCGCGGCTAAAATTTTAAGGGCGGCGGCGCGCCATCTAACACACGCTTTGAGGCCGCGAACTTTCCGATGCAATTGTCTGAGTGGATATTGGAGTGACTGAGCTGAAGTTGAAGTGATGCCTTTTTGTATAGGTGTTTTCTGCTCCTAAGGGTGCAAAGACCGCAACAAATCCGTCTTCACGATTTTTTGTTTAAATGAAAATTCTACAATCGAACCTTCCTTTGACGTGACACTTACTACTATACTCGTTGTTTTCTTGATATTTCTTACCCATTTCAGCTCGCTTTTCTGGAGATGAAATATGGTAACCTTTTCATCAAGAGGAACATGGGAGATTCTTCCAAAGTCAAGTCAATTTTTTCTTATACTCGAAATAATTATCTAGCTCGTGCAGCCCATTATACCTGATCGTTCTACCTTTTCCCTTTTTTCCAGGTGAGACTAAAGCTGCATCAAAATCTTACATCGCGTTTCTCATTAATGACAAAAAGAATATTGGAAAGCATTTAATTCATGAAACTCTGCTTCACAGGTAGACTATAAGAGATCAGATCAGACGCCGAAGCTTTGCAAAGTCTTAGTGTACTTCGCACACTACTGGCAGTATGAAAGAAATGATAACAGATAACGAACAGCCATTTGATACAAACAACACCGAATTTGAAGGTACACTGCGCCTATGTCAATAGCGCTTCGCCATATTTTTTTAGAAAGAGAAAGCACGAATAATAAATGACTAGAAATTCTCGATATGTACATTATGACATCCAGCTTTCTGGTACCCATTGGGTATCGTTTCGTAGTAGCTCCAAAGCATCGGTTAACCTGCAAGAAGATTCGGAAGATGCAGTAAAAAAAGTTTTCCAATGAAAATAATGATAACTGCATGGATAGAATGTACGAATAGCTTACCTTTTGAAGGTCACATCCATATTTCGGTTCATTAGGGTGAGGTGAATCTGATCCGCATGAGGACCATTGGCGATTTGATCACTTTCAGCACACACCTAAACATTTTTTGAAAAGCAATTCGAAGATTATCAAGTTGAAAAAATTTGCTATGCAAGATGTGTTTATCCCAACAAATATTCTCCAAACCTTACCTTGCTCAATTGATCGACTGGCCGCTTATTTTGTCGCAGATTTTCTAATTGCAGGAACTCTTCCAGTTGTGGTGGGACGATGTGAACGACGAAAGGCATAAATTCTGAATTGTACAGGTGCGAAAGTGCCTGAGGTGCACAGTCCAACACGCACATCCGTCCACTTCGTACTACATCACGGACGGCATCTGCGTCTGTGCCTAGAGTGGAATACAAAAAAATCCACACGGTGATAAAGATTTTACCAAAGACCACCCACCATACAGCTGGTTGTCAAGTTCTCCCCACTCGATCATTCCGCCATTGCGTATCTTCTTGAGCATCTCTTCTTTGGTCACAAAATGGTATTCGCGACCTTCTTGTTCGCCCGGACGAGCTGCTCGAGAGGTCACTATAAAAACAAGTTTGAAGAAGTGAGCGCAGAGAAGACTCCATAACATTTTTTTCGAGAACTTGGTAGAGAGGTCTTCGCGAACGCATTGCGTGCTACTTCAGCAATTTGGAGCAGAGAATGTTATCGGGTTTTACTTTCATCACATTAATGTAAACTGGAGCAAAGTTCATTATGTCTGTGAACGGAAAAAAGGGGAAAGTAGTAGTTTCGTCGTCTCTTGCCTTTCAGGGTTCTTGTTCCTTTTATTTACATACGTGTGTCAGAACGTTTCAATAAATAAATAAAAAGGGAAAGTAGATGTGATCAAGGTACGAAAAAAAGAATAACCAACTGCGAAGAAAAACATGAGCAACAAATAAAAAGAATGAGTAAAGTAAAACTTGATTCAACGCTTACTAGGAACAACAGTGGCGAAATATTGAGGGGCAGCTCTGAGAAGCATTGACTTCAGAGTTCGTCGTCCTACACCAACGGCTCCAAGAAGGACGAGCACCCTTCGACCAAAAGGACATAACATTGCTACCTATAATATTTACAACAATTAGATATTTACAAATATTGTTAGTTTATTATATTTGGATTACCTTCTCTTTCGACAAAGACGCAGGCAGGTAACCGACTCTTGATAGATCATTGACCTTTCTGGCCTAAAAAAGGCGTTTGTACAAAATGTTCACATAGATGTGACACAGGATTCCGATCTCATGTGCAAGATTTCAATGCAGTTCAGAAAATTGTAAATTTCACTTTGAAAAAACCAAGTATTTTGCCCTTACCTGCAGCCAGTTGTCATCTTGACTCATAATTTGTACTACATCTCCCTTCTTCACATCTATGGACAGCCATCGGCAGATCCTCGTATCATCTGCGTCCGAATTATAATCACTATTGACCCGATAAAACACCTACAATAAAATATCTTTTCATGAATAGCAGGTGCACCAAAGAACTGGGAAATTCAAGAAGAATAAAAAAAAAGAATATGGAATCTTTAACTTTATCAAATTGAAATTAACAATCAAATTAACAATCTTACTGATGGAGCTCCATGTATGGCAGCCGGAACAAGTGTGAGAGTTATGCGTCCGGATAGGCCGGAAATCGCTGACTGATGCAGTGCAGCTTTACCGTTGACGTGGGTTATCGTATCACCAGGATGGATATCATGGTTCGCAGAAGCATTTACTCGCGTCACTACCAGCTGTCCAGAGATCGTCTCGACTTCTATCTGCAATCAATGAAAGTAATTAATACGACCGAAAAAAATAGTTGATAGCAAAGATATCAAATACTAAGATCAAATGAGCTTGCTGAAGCAGGAAATACCGCATGATAGTTATAGTAAATTGTTGTACTAAGCACTTTAAAGTCTTCAAACAGTTTCAGAAACGTGATGGACTGGTGGGAAGTACAAAATCATAGCTGCCGCTTTTACAGTCATTGTCGATCACCTTTATTGATGGCATCTAAATTGCAAATAGCAGGCTGTAAAAATATTTTTAGCTGACTGATCCTGCACAATCGAAATCAATACGCTAAATTTTTGAATATATACAAAAACAAGCCAAAAGAGAGATAATGAGTATTTGATCTACAGTCCATATCCAACAAGCAAACAATCGTGTGAAAATTGTTGAGGATATACTTGTTTATTAACACATTTCTTTACTGCTCAGGTAACTATTTTATGATAAATAAACATTGAAAAAGAAACATGACAAGAACGACTATGCAAAATTGATAATGTTGATAAGTGATAAATTAATATTGTTGATAAATCAAATGCAGTAGCCTTTATCCGAGAGATTTCTTTGTGACGTGGGGGAAGGGGTCAAAATTTTTTCGAAGGAAGGGGCGTAACCTCAGCCACACCCTTTTGAAAATTTTTTGAATGTTTTGACAATTATTTGCGGGCCTATATCACCGCAATATATTTTGCATGGGTAATCTGAATTACAATTTTGCGAAACTATCTTAATTACTTTGTTTTTCTCGAAGTTCACGTATTTTCATCTGAATGTTGAGAAAGAGTTTTTACTAATATTCTATCAGCATTAATCTTTCTTTCCTTTGTATGTCGTGCCAAATGCATCAATTTCCGTTTCACTTTTTCGTTAGCTGAGTTGCAAACAAACAAATCAAAATAAAGACAGAAATTTCAGAAAGCATGATTTTTGGCTAGTGCTGACATAGGATAGCATTTCTAAAGATATTTCTACCCCTCTCAGAACTAGAGTTTGGAGTCTCACTAGACAGTGCATATTGTTTGCCGATGAAAAACTTTCTCCAATGTATCAATAGCTCCAACGACCTCTGAAGCACCTCTCACCGAATAGACGTCAATGCTCTTCAAACCGGTATCATAGCACTTGGTTGGTTTTTTCTCAACTTGTAGTGAAAGCATTGGCACGTCTGCATTCTTCGTTTAAGACTCATAAACGTTTCTGTTGGTTTAGGAGCAAAATACATTTTCACCGAAGTTTTGTGCATCGCAATAGCTAGAGTGCTCGTTCGCTTTCGTCAGGCAATGTTTTTTTCAATGATCTTTTTTTAGAAAATAAAAAACCTCAAAAACCGCTGGGTGGAAAATTTATGGTGAATTTTTTTAGCACAATTTCTGTTTATTTTATTTCTTCCATTGAACAGCATCCGCGCTTTCTTATAGAAGCAACATACTCTTGAAAACAGATTATTAAATATCTGATTAATCGATTCATTCTACAAAAAAATAAAGAAAAGAAGCAGTTCCCCAGCCCCGTTCCATTTTCATTCCACTAGCAAACCGCCCCCCATGCAGCCCATAAATAACGCACGAGATCGACATTTCGCCCTATAAATATGCTAACTAAAGTGCAAATCCACGGAAACGTGGCCTTGTTGCAGTTCGAGCGGTGAATTAGCCCAAATGAGGCTCTGGTCCGTGTATAAACCCAATTATATGAGTGCGCCTAATCGCCAGCCAACACTTCACCGGCAGAGGACGTCAATATAAACAAATCTTCAATTATTGATTGAGAAATCAACAAGTATAAGTGAGCACTATACTGTAAAGCAAACAAAATCATTAAATTCAAAGAATGACAATATTTCAGGAAAAGTATAGACTGTATATCGTTTGGCCTTTTTATGTGTAAAAATAATGGAAAAGTAATCCATGCATAACAAAATTCTGTGTCCTATTGTAATTTTTGCCATTCACTGAACACATGATCATGAACAAGTTATGATTAAGGGGCAAAACTGGTAAGGGCCCATTAACCGGGACATAAAACATCTGTAATACATCATAACGCGTATATCATCACATTCACACCACACAAAAACCGTCGTTGCTCATTCTGCTATTAATGAACAAGAATACATTTCTGGCTTGGAACATTTTTGAAAAGGAGGAAGCTATTTGGAGTTTCGGCGAAAGAATATGCAGATTAAAAGGAGTGTATCTGTAGAGATTGCACGGAAAGAAAAAATCTGAGTAGGCTTTCAAGAGGCTTTCAAATACTATATATTAGGGTGTTTGAGCTTAGATAATAAAGTACTCAATTCTATGCAAATATGGACTATTTGACACATAAAGAGAAAAGATGTGGGACCCTATGCTGCGTAGTATACTTGGGACCGAATCGAATGATTATTCGATTATTCGAATAAATCATTCGAATGCGAATCATTCGAAAAGTCGAATATTCGAAAATCTGGGATTTCGAATAAAATTCGAAAGTCGAATATTCGAAATTTTCAGTTTTCGAATATATTCGATATTCGAATATTCGAGAATTTCAACTTTCGAATATTATTCGAAAGTCGAATATTCGAAAGTCTCAATTTTCGAATATTATTCGAAAGTCGAATATTCGATGGTCATCAGTTCGATCATTCGATGGTCATCGAATATTCGAATCATTTGATGAACATCGAATATTCGAATATTCGATAATTTGAATGATGAAACCAGAGTTCGGCGCAGATTGTATGGAAGCAAGCTGGATTTGGTTTTTTGGGGCGGAAAAGCAAAAGGATGTCATTTTTGTGGCCAAAAATTGCGACGTTTTTTAGTCGGCGTTTCTTCTTTTGAGGGTTTTTTACGTTTAGGGCTGACAGTCAAAGGGGACTTCATTTTCAAAAAGCCTGGAAACGATTTCATGCTGAGCCCTGGATGGTAAGCCTAGCACGTCACTGTAGGAGTTTCTATCAAGCTACAACTCTCAATGGGGAGTGTATAGGAGCCGTAAAACCTAATTGCCCGCGCCGTGCCTTGAACACCAGCGTAAGCGAGCGGTCGTCGCGAACGATTGTCGGCGTTCACTATATTCCAAGAAATCTTCTTTTAACTTTCATGTTGTTCTCGTCAATGCAGGGTATATTGATGAAAGCTCCTTTCAAAAGTTTAAAAAAATTTGTGCGGAAAGGGTGCGCGCTCACTTCGCTCGCAAAAAGCCTGGAGCGCTTCGGGACCAAATGTTCCCAGCCGCGTCGCGCGTTGATGTGTCAAAGCGACGCGTGGGCAATTGGATTTTACGGGGCCTGTATGTGCTTTGTGGTCCTGGCGCAGTAGTCTATACAGTAATCGTAATGCGCCATTTCTGTTGCAGATGTACCTGCTATCGATTGATTTTTCGCTATCCAGGGACGCCAGGTTTTGATGTTCTTCAACAGCTTCTATCAGCTCTTCATGAGCGTCATTGAGTAAACTTTGAAACTTAAACTTAGAGTTTAAATGTTTAGATCCAGCGTAACACGGCTTTATGACCCCAACAGGAAGAAGTGAAAAATGAATACTATATTTTTGAGCTGCGCACCGAACAACCTCCTAGACCAAAGTTAAATAAGGTTTCAATATTTTGTAGACTAGTGAACCAGCAATTGAAGGTGCTAGTAGCATGCGTGCGCTACGGGACCGCCACGTGGTTTCCCGCTATGTGCACATTTTGGAATTGCGCTTACGATTTTTTATATATTAGACTAGCGGCCCTACGGGCCGCTGTAAGTGGGTCGGGGCAGATACATTAGTATTTGCTTAGTTAGGACTGCATCTAAGTACAAAGGTGTTCACATCTCCTCTCTAAAGAAACTAAAATGAAAAATCAAACTTCGCAGGTAGACACAAAAATGTCTGATATTTCCTTCCAAATGCCACCACCAGAATTAAATTATTTAATGCAGCTTGCTTCTTTCGTTGCTTAGTTAAAATCAAAATATTGCTTTCCTAAAAGGATGATCAATGCAGATGCATGCTGGGCTCTCCGGGAGCAAAGCCATTTCCTATAGCTGAAATTCTGTCGAAATCGAGGTTTTTACCCTCTTTTGTGGAAATTGCGGGGAAAAAGAAAACTTTTCGCTCCAAAAACTGGCGAGCCACAGAGAGAGCATGCCGGAGCTCAACCAGCGAGACCACAGCTTCTATGCTGGGTCTTGTTTCCGGGGGCAAAGGCATTTTCTGTGGCTGAAATTCTGTCGAAATCGAGGTTTTTACCCTCTTTTGTGGAAATTGCGGGGAAAAAGAAAACTTTTCGCTCATCGCATGCGAAGTCAAAACACGTGCCGTCATCGCATGCAGTGTAGGGTCCGCTCAATAGTCACATGCCGAGACAACCCTCTCCTCTCTAACTTGTCTGCGGTTCGGAGTACACCGCGCCTCTAAAAATCTCATTGTCTGTAACCTCTGCGAGAGGGTGTGATGTCTCGCGCGCTCACACTGTCAACAACTCGCCCTCCGCAACGCTGAAGGGGGGTGGCCGGGGTAGGTGACCCATGTGTAGTTTTCGTCGTCTCGCCGGATGTTTCCAGTTTATATATAAGAAGGATACCGAGCGATACGATACCCCCCCCCCCCACATGCCTGCTGAAAGTACGAGCAAAATATACTCCGGAGGACTTTTTAGCTGCGTCTCTTCTTTTGTACACTATTTTTCTTTCTCTGACCAAATTCAGATTTATCTCTGAGTTCCACGGTAGACTGTAACGCCCACCAAACTCAGAGTTATGCAAAGCACAGCTGCGCGTTTGGTGGGCTGTTTGTCGTGCAGAACGATTTCGACAATGTTTTCTTACTAGGTATAATTCACTAGTTACGGAGTCTCCTGCCATATATCACTTTCCATATTTGGTCCATTCAACTGTTGAAGGGGTAAGAAAGGTGCGAGTCAGCTCAGATATAACTCAAGAGTTAAGTCAGAGTAACTGTGAGTTCCGACCAGATTACTACCGACCCTGCCTGAGGTCTAGTGCACGCTGTTCTTCATTCGCATTCGGAGAAGGTGATAGATGTGAACGTGAACGTGAAGATTTCCCTGATATCGTCGCAGCGTTACTTCCACTCGACATCGTAGATTGAGGGCGTATTCAAGGTAATGCAGTAGTGACCGGAAGGATAGTGCAGTGTCAAGAAGTTCGTCGTTTGTTGTGGTGCGAGAAAGGGATATGGTAGAATCAGTCATTGTATAGTATTTCGAGCAGCGGTCTAGCTTATCGCATTGCCAACGACAGGAAGGTATTGCCATGAGTGTCGAGTCGAAAGTTGCGGGTAAAGCACTTATACAGTTCAACAATGTGTATATTATATGTGTATCGTGGAGTTGTCGACGGCAGTGCTAGATGTAGAGAATCCACTTAACGCGCTGAGATATACGTCATGTACTACAGAGTAGTAGTCGCATTAAAGGGCACTACAAAGACCTACAATACTTGTAAACTATGCGCTTGGTCATGTTATCATATCACATAGACATTAAATTTTCGAATGCTATTCGAAAATCGAATGATATTCGAAGGTCGAATGATATTCGATATTCGAATGATATTCGATATTCGAATATTCGAAATTATCTATTTTCGAATATCATTCGATAGTCGAATATTCGAAATTCTCGATTTTCGAATATAATTCGATAGTCGAATATTTGAAATTTTCGATTTTCGAATATTATTCGATAGTCGAATATTCGAAATTTTCGATTTTCGAATATTATTCGATAGTCGAATATTCGAAATTTTCAATTTTCGAATATATTCGATATTCAAATATTCGAAAAAAAATTCGAATTTCCCCAAGTATACTGCGTAGTAAGATTTCTGAAATTTTATATTTCAACACAAATTTTTTTAATGAGGAGTAGTCTTAGAGCTTTGCGTCATTTCGATCATGGTCTAAGTTATTGCAAGACTATGAAGTCGTACACAAGAAAGAGGCCTAGTGAAAATAACAACACATTATTGATAAGGTACAGGTGGAGCATGGCAGGTGATGGCTTTGATAGATTGGGTTGTGTGAGAAAAAATTCCCACTGAGAAATGAGCGCCAAACGCAGAAATAAAGAGGCTTCTAGGAAAAATAAAAAAAAGTGAGTTTCGTGACAGAAGTAGTAATAATTTTCTATGAATATTGTGCGTTTTCATCGAAATTCATGAACTGTAGTACAATTGATTTCAAATAATTTTTGCGCGTGCCACTCCTTAATTTGACTTCACAAAGGAAAAAGTATCCTGAGACTCAATTCCAATAACAGCAGAAACGCATCCTAAAATTCCCTCAGTGAACATATAAATCACTTCCAAGGACGTCAGATTGAATAATAATAATTCTTACCCCGGGCGAAGAACATCTGCCTCTATAATTAGCGGCGACAGCCCCTAATTGGGCATAGAATTTCCGCTGGCTAAAAATATTCCCGTAGTCCTTTCATCGAGGAAGCTGAACCATTCATTTCCTTTGGTCTCGAAATCTCATAAGAAATGGCTTTCCTCAGCTGCGCCATTGCGGACGGATAGAACACGATTAATCGCGCTTATTCGCACATGTCGGTCTTATCTCGACAGAGCGCAGTTTTGCTTTTCCTACAAATGCCCGAAAAGGATCGATGCGCTTGGTGTAGGTTCATTACGAATGCACTAGTATGGGAAGGATTAGAAAGCATCGCCGAAATTCAGAGCACGTAGTAATAGTTCTTTCTTCAAAAAAAAAATCATAAAACATAATTTCCTTGGACCTTGAAAAAATGAAAGATAATGGTCGGCAAAAGTCAGTGGTGTTCAAAGATTCTCAAAGAATTTCTAGTGCTTTCACAAACTTGGTAACGTCATTCCAAAGAAAAATTGTAGTGTACCTAACCCCTTTATTCCCTGAAAAACTGCAGAGGATATTCTTTTCAACTTTCCCCTTCCAATTCTCCTCCACTGAAGAGCTGCTCCCCAGAGACGAGCTGTTCGCAGCATACTTTTTCCACAGCACAAGATTTATGCCATTGTCTTTCCCTGATGACTACAAGAGGAAAAACTTTCAAAGTGTACAATGCTCCTGCTAGTGAATAGTGGAAGAGAAGAGGTGGAGAAAGGAAAGAGTCATGAATACAATAGAAATGATATGGGCAAAAATTGCATGTTCGCCTGACCACACGACTGCGAAACTGTGTGTACGCTTCTACTACAAATGAATACGAAATTGAAAAACTTTGGTTGTTAACGAATTTTCACCGTGTTTTAGTCGATATATATGATATTGGAAGTATTGTGCATCCCCACAGAATTGTTCCCACATAAAACATCAACGTGGCTGCTTTTCGATTGTTTTATCAAGTCCAGCAAATTTAAGGCGCTTATCCGAAGGTGACATGTCAATATGATCGAAAAACAGCCACGTTGGTGGTTCATATGGGGACAATTTTGGGGGATGCACCATATTTTGTGCAAACACACCATATGTATGTGAGCGACATAAACCTGTGTGATAGAAATCTAAGTACGAATGCAAAAGGTGATCATAGTGATTGATAGATAGGTAAATAACCAAATAAAAGAATAACTGAAAATTTCCTCTACTGTCAATTCATCTCAGTAACTTATTTAGTATGCGTATTGCACTCTATACGCCCTACTCTACGACTTTTAAAACTGAAACCTATTGATTTAGTGATTTCTCCTTGTTTTCTTCTTTATTTTGTTCTAACAAGATATGCATTAGGTGGTATACATTTCTACAGTTTATGCGGCTTGGAAAACAATTCTGACCGGTTCATAATAAGATGTCGCCGATTCGCGCGCGCAGTGTGCAGACTCACATATTAAGTTATAAATGACTCTACATATGTAGTCGGGCTTACACCTTGCAACGCAAGAAATCTGAGTTCGTGAGTGCAAAGAAATTTTCCGTATTTTGTAGCAAATTGTGCTACTTGGATAAAACGATAGGTGAGAAATCAAATTTTTGAGAAATACAAAAAATTGTTTTAATTATTTAGAGATTGATAGGCTAATACCAGTGGCGTACCCAGGTTTTTATTCGGGGGAGGGGGGGGGGGCAGAAAAATTTTTCTGATGAAGACGTGGCATCAGTCACCGCACTCCGGGATTTTTTTTTGGTATGCTTTCTAAAATGTCTGCGGGCCCCTAACCCCGAAATTTCAGGAAAAAGAAAATTTTTTTTACAAGGCTAAATTGAATTCTTTAAAAATTTAAAAAATTGGGTCAATACCAGTAAAAACACTGCTTACCAGTGCTTAGCAATAAAAACAAGTCACTTGCACAAGTCTACAACTTATGTAAGTAACTTCCAGAAATTTCCTGACCCATTCTCGGAGAGGAAGGGGGCTGGTAAATACATAAATAAATAAATGAGGAAAAAAACAAAATTTCTGTTTTTGAAGGTTATGTGTAATTACTTCGAATGCCTATGTTACACACTTTTTCTGGAACATCGCGCTTCTTCAATTCATAGTTTTTAGTGCCTATTTGCTAAACGCAAATAACTACCGCTTTACACCGTTGTTGACGTCGATTACAGCGTTGTATGTGTACATGCGTGTACTGTGTACTTTAACAAATGGCAGTTTTTCAGGGGAAGTCTGCAGTTATAAGTGTCTAGACTAGATACGTCGCCTCAACAGCATAAAAACTATTCATTAGTGCTGCTCACTCAAGCGAAGACTCTTGAAGGCCAACTCTTCCAAGAGAAAAACTTTGCGCGAGTTCTAATGTTTCCCCGCTGCAAGCAATTTTCTGCAACTTTTCATTGTTTATAGCAACGGAAATCAATTTTGCAGAGTGGCTGCCCAAGGAATTTTTTTCTAAAGCGAGCTTTTAACGGAGAAAGCGGTGTTTGTTTGAAAAAAATCTAAACAGATCCTATTCTTTGTTGTTTTCGGTACACAATCAAAGACTGACTTTTTGAAATGACTGATATATGAAGTTTAGTTGATATTATCAAAAAGCTGGAATAAGGGGCACGTGGTCCCTGCAATGGGTTGACATATGCAACAGATTGCTCATAAATTGCATAGACGACACCCACTTAGAACATAAGAGAACAGGCTGTCGCAAATAATGGAAATGGTGTCGAGTGTGCATTTGCAGTAATGGAAACAGTAATGGAATTTGGTCAGGTAAACGATACGCGAGTGGCAATCCATGTAATCAATGCTAACAGATTAAGTAATGATTCGTTATACTGAAACCTCAAAGTAGAGAATATTTTAATGGGGTTTATGGAAAAAAAATTGAAACAAATCACTAAACGCAAGGTACAAATGTCTGCCACGGGCGTGCTTGCACAAAACGCAGCAAAATATGCGCGAATTATATATAAATTAATAGGAGCGCCCGCACAGTGCGCGCGGCAACCGACGACACCTTGCTAAAAACTCGTTAGTGAGAATTTTTTAGCGGAATAAAGTGGAAAGTGGGTACTATTGCCTGATCATATGCAATCAAACCAAAAAAAGGCAAGAAAATTCGGAGGAATCATTGGAGATGAGCGGGTTCTAACCTTACAAGTCGTCAAGTAGCGCGCATGGTGTGCATTGCACATATGAAGTTGCAAATGACTCGATGGCACGCAAACTACGAGAAATCTTCCCTACAAGGATGCTTGCTTGCATAAAACACAGCAAAGGTAAAATCTATTCCTTCTCAACTAAGAAGAAGAATCAAGAAGTTAATTTTTAAGAAGTTTAACTGTATGACTTGTTTCGAGGAGTAGAAATTGCAACAACAGGATAAGATTTGTGGAAAAAAGGAAAATGTAACAGGATGAATCTTTAATAAAAAGAAAATCGAACCACACACCTGATTCAACTGTTTGGCGTCGATGTGCACGACCCGGGCCTGATAACCCGGGCTCAGTATTCGGCCATTGCTCACGGGTGCCATCGAAGGAGCCGGGTCCAAGGACAATGCATGGAAGGTCTTTGTGGTGAGTACTCTTTCGGTCACGATGGTCCTCTTCTTCAGTCCGGTTTTCGGGTCGGTGCTCACCGAATCGCGGATCTCCACCTGTTCGTCCTTTTTCGTTCGATCGTCATCATTGCCATTCGAGTCGGTGACAACAACAGCTTGCGGGCGTGGCGATTTCGCGTCCGTTTTGTTTTCGAGATGTTCGATGCGCTCGAGAAGTGCATGTAGGCAACGGCCGAGATTGTCTGCATTAGCGCGTAAGGACGCGAGTTCGTGATTGTCGTCGTCCATGGCAGCGCCGCAGTACACGTGTGCGATTAGACGCGGGCGCAGCTCCCGGCTATGGGCGGACCTGCCGAAGCGCGATCGCCGCCTCCTCCACCAGCTCCCTTTCCTCCCCGCCCGTCACTCCTTCGAGAAGAATCGATGCGCATGACTCCATTTGCAACGCGGGTGGTCAGGCAAAGGTTCTCGCCCTAAGGCTAATCTGACCATATCTCGCGCTCTGGTGCTAATGATCCGAGCGTGACTTTGAAATGTAATTGGGTATTCATGGCTTCAGAACTGTGTGAGCAGTTAATCCCGGGACATTCTTCACGCGATTTCACTCGTCGCGCGATCTGGCAATTTGCCAGAGCTCTTCAAATACAACACTCGCAGACAATGCATACTGCTTCATATAGTGTCTCCAGACTTGAAGCACTGCACACGGTGTAATCACACATAACACAAAAGTCTCAATAATCTCTAGCTGAACGTGGACTGCATGTAGAAGCGAAGCGTGCGCGAAGGCGGCGCTCTAACGGATACACTAAGGCGCCTCCTGGCTCTACGGACGATAGAAACTGCGCTCGCGACTGCTTTGCTGCTACGAGCCTTCCGCCTTCGTCCGACAGTCAGCTAAAAGTGTGGTAAAGATTCCGATTTTTTAACCTTTTTGTGCAACTGCACCACCAGCGCCGACTCAAAATCTGTATAACCGTAGGATAGCAGAAACCATCATGCGTGCGGGCGATAGCGGCACAGCACATTTCTTCTCATTTTAGGTCAACAATCAATTTGTCCTCATTGGTTCCCTGCAATCCGCCCGCGACGCCGCTCGCTCGCACGTGCGGCGCGTACTAAATTGCGCGACTCACAAATATGAACTGAGTAAATGCTCTAAACAAGCAGCGGGTGCACCGTAATTGTTTAAGATCTTGCCAAATTCATTTTTTCAGGTGCATAATGTTTATTTCCGTTTTGAAGACGTACAGATACTCATATTTTTCATTCACAACTAACAGCTGACTATTTTTTCTGTAAATTGGCCACCATACTGCCAACTGTTCTTTGCACGAAAAACACAATCAAAAAGCCCTTTCACTCGTTGCTCTACTACTATTAGTACACAAAATGGGGGTAAACTACTATTCAGAGAAAATAAGTGTGGTGCCAGAAAAATCTAAAATATAGCCTTGGTACACGCAAGGGAACAGTGTCTTTCATATTTCACTTCTTCTTTCCAGCCGTTAGGGTCTCCATTTTCGTTGCATGAGAATACGATATCGGTTTCGTGGTAGAGGGAAAAGGAGGGTGAGGCGAATGAAGAATAGACAATTTAAGATAAAACTTGATTTGCATTTTTTACAAGTTTCCGCGGGATTTTTCCTCAAGACCATAGCGGATTCTTATGGAGAAACTAGCTGGCTTACCCGGCTCCGCCGTATGTTCCGAATAGAAAATTCCATTTCTTAACCGATCCGAACCAAACTTGGCACACATACATTTCGGGCCCCGGCGGGTGTCACAGTCCACTTTTCGTTATCGAATGATGTCAAATTTATCGATTTTTTTGCAAAATTTGAGCTAGGGGGCTGGAATTTGGCACAGAGGGGTAATCGAGCATGCTGATCACCCCCGTGGGGGTGATCAGCATGCTCGATTACACCACCCTGCCAAATTCCAGCCCCCTAGCTCAAACTTTGCAAAAAATCGATAAAATCGATAAAAGTAATGCACGATTTTAAAAACTAATATTGTATTCGGAATCCCCATGCTCGATTACCCCCCTGTGCCAACTCCCAGCCCCCTAGCTCAAATTTTGCAAAAAATCGATAAAATCGATATCGATCGATACGAAAAGTAGCCTATGACACCCGCCGGGGCCCGAAGTATTTGTGTGCCAAGTTTGGTCCCGATCGGTTCAGAAATGGAATTTTCTATTCGGAACATACGTACACACAGACAGACATACAGACAGACAGACAGACAGACAGACAAACAGACATTCAGCTTTATATATAAGATTGCAAACGTTTTTTTTTATCAAGATAAACCCGGATAAATTTTTATGCTCTTATCTCACCAAATCTATGCCTTCTGAGAGCCCAGATGGCCACCCCGGTTTTTGTTCGCAGCTGAACAAAGGCAATATTATGCTTGATCAGCCCTCTCATGCACGCTAACGACAAGCATAACATTCAAGGAAAGAAGCTTGTTGGCAAATGTGGTCCCTTCTAGCATGATTTTTGCTACTTAGGGGAGAGTCCTGAGAAAAATTTAAGATATACATAAGGCAAAACCTGATTGTTGTACATAACGCAAAACCTGATTGTTATTTAGTGCGCAAAACAGATTTTTCAGGATTTCATGAAGATTTGCATATTCCAAAAAAGTAAACTTCGGATTTGGTGCCAAGGCCCAAACCTTTCCACCTCTTGACCCCTCCACCATCTCCTTACGGCTGTAACGTTGAGGTTTTTTTCGCCAAAAAAGTCCAGGAAAAAAACCATAATTATGACTATTCTGAGATTTTTTTGTGCGTCAAGGCAAGTGATTCGTTTTCTAGAAGTGGTAACAAAATTCAAAACAGCGTAAATCGGATTGTACTTGCACTTGACTTTTACTTTTTAGAAAATAGACCTTGGCTGAAGCCCGCTATGCCCTTTTGTTGTTGAGATTAAGGACTTTACCCAGAACAGTGGATTGCTAAATTACAGGAAAAGAGGTAAATATTGCAAGCACTGTACCATATAGTCATAGCAGAGTATGTGGGAATATTTTTCTATTTATTTTTTATCTTTCGCTTTTTCCATTACTGCAAGAAGCCTGTCGGGAAGAAAAAAATAAAAGAACTTTATTGTAGTGCATTAGGTGTAGAGAATCTGAAAATTTGAGTGGAGTCTGGGGTACTATTACGATGAACGATTTTTAGAGATTTGAATTTTTTTTCTTAGGGTAAAATTCGAGTGTAATCTGAGATTCAAAGTTCTCAAGGTTAAAATCTATCGTGGTAATAAAATCTTTTTGCCCTTAACTACCCTGTTTTCAGAGTTTTGATATAGCACTCTTTTTGAGATTGTAACACATGCAAATTATTCTAGTTCTAATTTTTCAAAGCATGAATTAAGCAAAAAGATTCATTATGTACACTTGAAATCTAAACTCGAGAAACGTTAGAATAAACTTCACTTCAGAAACGATTTTAAGGCCCGTATGCACGTACATCCCCGCGGTGAGGGGAGGGGATCTCAGAGGGGAAGCGTCATATTTCGCTACCCTGTATATCTTTCGTCTTCCTTCTTTATCTGTGATATGACGGTTCTCATACCCTAATACCTGCGCATAACGGATGCCAGGTTACTGCCATACAAGATTAGATTTTCACAGCTTTGTGTGATCCCCTGGGGATCTCCAGAGGATCACCTCTCATTTTCAAAGTCATTTATCTTCCTACAAATTCAATGAAAATGTTCTAGATTTGTGCTGAAGATATAATATGGTACTGCTAAACATGTCTATAGTAGAAATAAGGGAAATCTCAGAATCGAAATTTTCGATGACCGCTGCTCGCGAGCCAGGGATTATCGAAAAATTGATAATCTTCAGATTCCATTTCTTCTGTCCATTTCTTTTGCTTAGCAGTGCCGTAGTATATCGTCAATACAACTTTACAGCATTTTCATGGAGTCTTCAGAAAGATAAATGACTTCGAAAATGAGAGGTGATCCCCAGGGGATCACACAAAGTTGTGAAAATCTAATCTTGTATGCAGTAAGCTGGCATCCATTATGCGTAGGTATCAGGCAGTGGCGTACCCAGGATTTCGGCTCGGGGGGGGGGGGCGCGACAAAAATTTTTTTCTAATGAAGGTGCGTGGCGTTAGCCACGCACTCCGAAAAAATTTTTGGGGGGCTTCTCAAAATTTTTGCGGGTCCCTAACCCCTAGAATATGGAAAAAGGGGGCGTGGCGTCAGCCACGCCCCCGAAAAAATTTTTTTATAAGGCTAAAATGAATTTTTAAAAAATTTTAAAAATTATTTTAATTATTTACAAGTGCAGACAAGTCATTTGCACAAATTTATAACCCATATAAGTAACTTTCAAAAATTTCGGGACCCATTCTCGGGGGGGGGGGGCGCGCGCGCCCCCCCCCGCCCCCCCCCCCCCCTCGGTACGCCACTGGTATCAGGGTATGAGAACCTTCATATCACAGATGAAGAAGGAAGATGAAAGGTATACAGAGTAGCGAAATATCACTCTTCCCCTCTCAGATCCCCTCCCCTCCCCGCGGGGATGTGCGTGCATACGGGCCTAAGTCTCAAAGGATTGTGCCTGGGCGTAAGACATGGAGCTAAGTTTTCATTTGGAAGTGTTGGAATTTTATTCATGGAAGTCACAATAAATCTTCATTTTTTTCTCTTACATGTTCTAAGAGTCTCAAGACCCTTTTGTTTTCTTATGTATAGCCAAGCACTTGTACCAATTTTAGACTCTAAATTCATCGAACAAAAGGACTTTTTCCATTGTTGCACTTGCGAAGCGAGGATAAAAGGATTACTAAGAAAAACGGAGGAAAAGCTCAATTTAGAAAATTAGTGCTTCACGACTGTTTAGAGCAATAAATTTTTGCTTACAATTCCGTAGAATAATGCATTCAAAAAACTTTATGGATTTTTTTCTTGACTCCTTTTCTCTGAAAACGTTCAAATAAAAACTAATAATTTATTACCTATGTTTCTGAGAAACACCGAGAAACAGTTATTACAGTACGACTACCGTAACTTTCGAGTAGAGAGTACGGGAACCGTAGCCTTCTCTTTCAAAATTAGCCGCTCTTATTTACCAGGCAATGTAGTTTTTAGAGTTTTGAGAGCCTTTTTGAGGCAAAATTTTGCCTCCACTAGCTCAAGATCCTCCTCAATACCGTAACAATATAAGAACTAAGTAATACTACTAATTTGTTCCAGAGTGTAAGTCTAACTAAGTTGATGGATTATACTTCTGAAAGGCACTTTTATTACTCAGTTAAATTCTTGTTGCTGCAGAATTTTTTTGAGACAAATTTATTCCCACGCGTTTGCCCAGTTTCTTTTTCCTCTTTTTTCTCCAAGGCAATCAATCATTCCACTCGAAACAATAGCAATTTCTCCCACGTTCTTCTCATTTTCAAAGAGAGTT